TTCCCTTCATGAAACCATGTCCATTGATAATGGCATTCTAAAATATGGGGTGATTTTATCTGCAACAATACCTTCAAAAACTTTGGCTACCAAGGAGACCTTTGATATTGCTCGATAATTTTTAATGTGTGATCTGTCTCCATTTTTAAAAACTGGAATACCATAGGATTTTTCCCAGGCTGCTGGATATGTACCATAATGTACCAGAAGACAATGACATATTAAAAATATACAAAATTTGTGACAGAACAAAGCTGCAGCCTTTAGGAAAACAAACGGTATGCCATCTGGCCCAACACCGAGACTTTGCTTTAATTTGCAAATTCTGTCAAAAACATCAAGTGGAGATAGCTTGAGCTGCCCAAGATCAACCATTCTATCCGATTCAAAATTCGGAAACATTACATATTATTATGTAATATGATATGTCTCTATCTATCTAATCACATGCTAACCACGCGCTTGCTTTCTTTCCTTTTTTGTCACCAAGGAACGAGTCGGAGCGCCCCCGAGGCCTGGCGCCTGGAGTAGAGGTGGGAAACTATCGAATGAAACTATCGATATATCGATAGCTCGTTGCGGAATTAAAAATATCAAAATATCGATAATTTTCCCTAGACTATCGAATACTATCGAATTTTGTATTATTAAATTGGTAACACTGGGCGCATTCTTTTATTCATCGATGGATCCATCTGTTGAAAGCATTATGAGACAGCCATTCCGATTTTCTATGAACTAGACAAAGATAGACAGGTCATCGATGGAGCCATCGGTGAATAAAAGAAAGCGTTTACTGACTAGGAGTGGTGACAGGTCGACAGCTGATGCTGAATTATGACAGAAGTGACGGAGTGAAAGATGGCCGACGTAGGGGGCGCTTCCATTTCGCGCCATTTCGGAAAGGTTATTCTCGAAGGCTGGTAATATTTTGACAGTTAAAAGAACCAAACTTAAATCTAAAAATAAAAATATGTTATTTAATCAAAATAAATGGTTGCTTTCTTAAAGCGTTGTAGTTAAATAATTATTTTTGTACAAATACTATTAGAATCTTCAATTTTCATTTCAGTTCTAGGTTATATTTTTAAACCGATAGTACTATCGATATATCGATAGTTAATCAACCACTACTATCAAACTATCGATAGTTTTTGAATTCGATATTTTCCCACCACTAGCCTGGAGCGCCCGCTCCGTTCGCCTTATGGTAGGGCCAGCCCTGCTATCAGGTTAGACAGGGCATCGATGTAGGCCTCGAATTGTGCGGTAATATTCGGAGAGATGCCCAGCACAGTAAATTCCTCCAGTCTAACTCTTATTACCCCTTGCTGTTTACTAACGATACGGACTTTAATCTTGTGGTTTCTGAAGTATATGAAGTACATAGTAGTACACTAATCCAAACTTCGCGTCTGCAATGCAGTTGTAATTTCAACACATACATATGGCTGCGAAACATGGACCATCTACATCACCGAAGCCTAAGAAGGATCCTATGGATTAATAACAAAACATCGCAGATAATTATTACCCGAGTCAAGATAGTTCAAATTTTGGGTGAAGCTAGACAAAAATAATATAAAGCTAATTTTTAGTATATATCATAATTTAGGTCTAAATATTAATATACTAAAAGTCCTGGGGATTCCTCCTTCCGCAACCCCCTTTTTCGCCCCCCAAACCCCACCTTTTAATATTTTGGTGATTTTCTCGAAAACTATCCACTTTAAGGAAAACTGTCAAGAGAGCATTTTTGAAGCTGACAAAATTCCCCTGAAACGTACTGCGAGCCCATATATTATCACGTGGTACGCACCAGTAGTGGCGTATCAGAAGAAAGTTTGCCCCGAGATTAATTGAAAACTATAAGCTTGGCGAAAAATATCGTTACCAACTTTTTTGTAGGTGATAAAATTGTAAATCTATTCATATATCGAACGACCCTCTAGGACCAGAAATATTGGTGTTTAATTTTCACCCCACTGATCAGTTCTGGCGTCAGCTTCAGACATAATTTTTTCTTTTATAAAAATAGTAGATACTTGTATGATTGTTTTCCGGTTGTAATACTTTTTATTTTTGATTTCACGTTTTTAAAAATTTTACGTAACGTCAACGCTTTCACTAGCAGTCAGTAAGGTTTTCAGTCATTTTTCACCAACTTTAGTAATAACACGCTCACTTAGTGGCAGTTTACACAAAACACATTTATTGTCGTTTTCAATTAAAAGAGATGGACGATATAGTATGAAAATTCATATTCCCGCCAACATTTGCTTGCTTGTCAGTGTCAATGTGTATTGGATGTTTAGCACCGTTGAGTTAGGTATCTTTGTTTAGTGAATGAAAAATGACAATGACCGACATAGAATGGTGAAATTTGAAAGAAAAAGGTTATTAGCAAACAGCTTCCGCAAACTAAACTTGAACGTGGATTACTTTTTATACTTGATGAGCCGTGGATTTCCCTTTCTTTTGCGAGTATCCTTTCTGATTTTGTGTATCCAAATTTTGACAAATGTAGGATTTGATGAAAACTTATGGAAAGACACGTCCGCCGGCGAATAGAAATTATTTTCACGAAAAGCCACACTTCACACAATCACCATTGTTAGGAAAAAACCTTAAAAAAACCGAGGAAATAATAGTTTCCAGTCTCCACACGTTTGAAAGTCTTGTCAACAAACCACTGTCAACGGCTTTCAATCTTTGTTTTCATGCTCTTTTGGCGTCTGACAGTTTGATGCCAGAAAGAGAGGCTTCTAAATTGAAAAGGTCAATACAAGTTACGAAGTAGTAAAACACGACATATATGCGCGCGCAACATTGGGTTGCAGTGTAGCCAGATTGTATTGTTGTAGAATGAATGTAGGCAATAAAAATCGAACATTACACCCATTAAAAAAGTGATATAGTGTCAAGTGTTTCACAACGTCCTAAATCAGACAAGAGAAGTGCTTTAAAGTGTCTTTTAACATCGCTTGCACTTTAATTTTGATAATTATTCCATCCGGCAACATCGCACAATGAAAGTGCAAAGGAATATGACAAGTACATAACTTTAAACAACACTGCTCGCTTTTTGTCGGATTACACGTTACAAAGAAAGATGGAATGATTTCTTCGGAACTCGCCCCTGGACTCGGACTCTGTTACGGATAGAGATCGTTATCCTTATCGATATGGCACTTCCTGTTTTCTTCTTCCTTTCCGAAATCAATGTATAGACAGGGAATGTCAATAGAAATAGAGAAAATGTCTCTATGCGTTACAGAGTCCCAACCCTGAATATAAATTTGAACACGTGACAAACTCGCTTCCCATTGGACTCTGTTGCACAAGCGCAGTCAAGATAAAATAGAAATTGACTGAAACAAATTAATGACGTCATTCAATGTGACGTGGCGGCCAAGCAAGTTTGTTTTGGATATGTTTTTATGCGTATTTTAAATTATTTTGCATTCAGTTTTGCTTAACACTTTGATTTTCATTATTTAATAAAATATTTGTTGACTAGGTACCTGAACTATTAATTCCGGCAGAAACTAGATATTTTTTTGTGTTTTTTGGCCCATGTGTGGCGGCCACGCCATCTTGAATGTCACGTGGTTTGAATTGCCTAATAGGTACAATACAAAATCTGAACGCTATTGAATTTATATGGATCAATCTACGACAAACTTTTTTTTCCAAGTTATGACATATCGATGTCATAAGTACAACCTTTCGTGAAATGAACCTTACCTACCTCAACGTCGCGCAAGGCGGTAGGCGCACCTGTTATTTGGCAAATTTATAGCTGAGAAGTCTAGGATAAACTTCTAATTTTTTTTTTTTTTTGGCCGAAGTGATTGCGATAAACTTTTTATAGATTCCCAAGTAGACTACCTTTCAATGGTAGTTTCAGAGAAAATTAGGTTTCTCCTAAAAAAATTATGCTTAAATCAAAAAAACTGAGAATAAATAGCAAACAGTATATTTTTCATAAGTAACCTTTTATTTGATACGCCACTGGTGCGTACGACGTGGCACTATATGAGCTCACAAGAGTTCATTGCAAGGGAAATTTTGTCAGCTTTAAAAAAGCTTTCTTGATATTTTTCCTTAAAGTGGATATTTTTCGAGAAAATCATCATCAAAATATTAAAAAGGTGGGAGTCAGGGGGCGAAAAGAGGGGGTTGCGGAAGGACGATGGGCAAGGACTTTTAGTATGTTGCAATTTAGCCCTCAGGCATGATCTCTACCAAAAATCAGCTTTATATTATTTTTGTCTAGGTCAAATGCTATCTTGACTCGGGTATCGAGTTATAGCCTATGATGATGATGAGATCTAAATTCAGAAAGTAAAGAAAGTAAATCTTGAAAATTAAATTAGGTTGAGAGTATGATAATAAATGAAAGGGTTAATTTTCATCCCTTGTTGTTGTTGTTGATAGATTTTATATCTTTAAGTACCTTATGGCCATTTCCACCAACTATTTTAGGGAAGCCCTAACGATAGGTATGCCTTAAACTGACATTTCTCCATGTGAATATGTCATTTTAGGGAATACTTATCGTTAGGGCTCCCCTAAAATGGTTGGTGGAAACGGCCATTACTTATTTAATTATGTTGTTACATGGTATATTTTCTATCTTAGCATATTAGTTTAGTATATTCGTTTAGTTATTGCGTCTAAAGAAGGCACCTCGTAAGCTGAAAAAGGTTCAAGAAACTTTTTTGTTTCCTTACAAAAGTTTCAGTCTCATTCCTTATCCAATATTATAATATAAGATCGCGCCTGTAAGAGTTTTTATGAAAACCCGAGAGAAGGTTTATGTAGAACAAATATAATCTGTATGTTGTTAACAATTTCTTCTGGAGAAAATGCCCTCTGACCTGGATATATCACGGACAATACGATTTCACTTCAACTAATATTTTCCAAATTTCATTGTATTTTACCTCGGACATACGTGGTGTGACGTGGTTTTTAAGTAATAAAATATTTTTTAGTTTGCAGAGTTGGCAGCAACGACACAGAATCAAAATAGTTCGTCGTCTAGTAAGGAAAAGTGGGAAATCGTCAATTCATCAGAAAAGTTCGAAAGAAAGATCTTTCAGATTTCTTCTGGATTTATCTAATACACTCATAGAAAGTTCTTGGATATGGACTTTTCTAGTTGTGTCGTTTATTTTCACGTTGACATGGTTCATGTTTGCCGGATTTTGGGCAATAATTTCCATTGAAAACGTCGATGCTTGGAATGGGACTAGTGACTCTTGTCTGAAAGGTATATTTCTTCCAAACTAAATAAAATTCTATTTATTTACTGGATAGCAGATTTTCAACTCTATACCTCAGAGGGGAACCATGCGTATGGTTTATTCCGAAACGCTCTAATTATATCATATTATGACGTGACTTTAAATTAGAACGTTTTAGAATTCCGTAAGAGTAATATAATGCTGGCATGCAAGCTATTAAAAATAAAATTCTCTGACATTTTATAAAAAGTCAGAGTATTGTTTAAACGAGACCCAATGTGTACTTTTGGTATACGCTTTTCAGTATTGTTTGAATTTCAGGCAGTGCATAAATAAAAAAAAACTAATTGAAAGCGAATATTATGCAAAAAGTTTGCATTTTCTGAAAACTGCTACGTACTTTTATTTTTGTAATGAAAAAGCAAAAAACGTGCGTTTTCACCATTTGTTGCTAAAAATTAATGCAATACAGATGTGTGGTCTGTGCTCTCAATTATTAAAACACTAGCACAAACGAATAACCTGTTTTCTATAGGTGGCTTTTTGAATTAAATTATATTAATTCCTAAATTAAATTAAATGGGCTGTTAGAACCCACCTTAAGTCTTGGTATTCGTTCCATTTTACAGGTATTGACAGCTTCTCTGGATACCTTCTCTTCAGTATAGAAACTCAAACTACAATAGGATATGGTGGTCGTTATATTAATGAGTATTGTCCAGAAGCTATTATTGGACTCATTATACAGCTAATAATTGGTGCGGGCGTTTGTGGAAGTCTCATTTGTATTGTTTTTTTAAAGATGGTAGCTCCAGTGAAAAATCGTCATTCTATGGTGTGCTTCAGCAAAAAAGCAGTGGTGAGTTACGATAATTTCATAGAAAACTAATATTTAAAAATTTTTCACTGGTAAAATCGAAATATGCATATACCTCTAATAATAACATATATTTTAAATTATGAGAACCAATTTCAGAATAAATTTAACGATAAAAAGGATTTAGAATTGAATACTAGAAAATTAATCCAGCCAATAAATTGCATTTTATATACAGATCAAGTGCCCAAGATTAGAGATTCTATGCCTTGAATTTAATCTAGCCAATCAAATGGATTTCTCCTACCTAAACGGTCAAATATTCGTCAACAGACTCTACTATCGGCGTCTGAAAAACCCCTCTTAAACGACAGAAAGACAAAGGAAAGAGCCCTCTGTCTCCAGCAGTTTGGTGAGCCTTGACCAAGGCAGCGGACAGACCAGCGACCGAACAGAGGGTGCTAAAAATCCATGGAGTGGACCAAACTGTCAACTATACATCGGAACTTACAAAGCAAGGACTTTGAAAAATGAAGAAATGTTAGAGGAACTAAATTACGAACTCGATAGAATAAATTGAGACATAGTAGGACTCGCAGAAGTCAGAAAAAGAAGGTCTAAGACTTAAATTAAAGCACGTCCGATTCTACAATGGTGATTATAATAGCAGTAATGGAGGAGTTGGATTCCTGATACACAAACGGATGATCCCATACCTACAAATACTGAAGAGCAAATCTGACAGGGTGATATACATAATATTGGAAATCAACAAGAATACAAAAATCAAAGTCATCTAAATTTACGCACCAACAACCGACCATGAGGACCAAGAAGTAGAGGAACTTTATGAAGAGGCAACACAGTGTCTTCACGATGACAAAACAAATTACCCTCACACTATTTATGGGAGATTTAAATGCAAAAATAGACCAATATGACACCGACTCATGTTACATTGGCAAGTTCGGACATGGTACAAGAAATGAAAGAGGCAACATGCTAATCAACGTCTTAGAAAGAGAGCAACTCTGCGATGAACTCATTCTTCAAAAAGAGACCTAACAAAAAATGGACATGGGCAAGTTTGGATGGAAAGACAAGAAACGAAATAAACTTTCAATGAATGACGACGTAGACAATATTAAAAACTACTAAGAAGCACAAATCGAAAAAATGAGAGAACAACAAAAAGGCTTAAACGTTTCCAAAGAAAGGACACACACGAAAGAGAAATCACAAAGCTGATGGACAAGCAAGGAAACATTATAGAAGACAGAGAAGGTATATTGCGTGTGGCGGAAAATTTCTATAAGGAACTAATTATATGACGCAAAAAGTAACAGAGAAAATAACAAACAAGAAACCGAAACATCTTAAATTCTAGATGTTGGGTCAGAAGAGATTCCTGATATAATTCAGAGACAATTTTGACAAAACTGGCCAGCATAGACTAATGTAATATAGGGGGTAAATAGACTGGACTCTCCAATGTTGACATATCATATCGTATTTTACCGCCCGCTGCCGACTGAGAGTGAACTATGAATACTAGTTCGGTAATTCTCCGAAAGATGGCACTTTGTTATTGATAGTTCACTGTAATTTTTACAGTAACTCGACAACCCCTTTTCAAACAGTGGCGACAATGGAGGTCCTGCCGCCATATTTTCGCAAATTTTTGATAGGAATAATAGGATATAAATGAATATCTCCTCAGATATCCATATCTATCATAAAAAATTCAAAATAACATATTTAAATTTTAATCAGAGAAATATGTTACCTTCAAATTTTCATGATAGATATCCATTTATATCCAACAATTCCTATGCATTCATATTTAAAATTTCAAAAATATGGCGGCGGGGCCTCTATTCATCGTCGCCACTGTTTGCAGAGGTTTGTCGAGTCCCTCGTTTTTCTTTTTCACAAGAATGAACACAATCAAAGGACAATTAAAATTAAAATTTTGAAATGTCGAATGAACGAAAAGGCCAAATGACAATGACATTTCCGATGAAGGATTCGGTATTTATTTCATTTTCAGTTTCATAACCTCAGTTTTATAAGACCAGCAGAGCCATCAGCGGTCACGAGTGAACTAAAAAAGCTGGCTCAAAGCGGTAATACACAGAAAACATATCCTCACGGATAGAAGGCAAACTGCCTAATAAAATTTTGGGGAACAATGCGCCATCATCGGCATCATGGATGCGATCCGAACTATTTCAAATATAGGTTTCTGTAATCAAATCAACTTTTATTTTTTTTTTAAATTTTTTATTTCACAGGTCTCTATAACGGCTATTTTCGAGGCTATAACAAGGAATATCTAATCTGTGGAGCTTCAAATGTGGTTCCACTGTGACTCGTAGAAACAAAAGTCACATTCAAAGCTCCACTCAGCTCGAGGATTCCCTAAGTTTTAGCCGTGCAAATGTCTATGGTGCAAATAGCCCTGGATCATTTTTTGGAAACCACATCCGGTAACACAACACTTTTTAGGATCTGTCCAGAGATAAATACTATATAAACTGTCGAGAATGGAATCTCAATGTAAATTTTATTGTCAACAAAATTGAGCCAAGCCAGCGCCATCTACCATTTCGGAAAATCACTATTTACTGGTATTGCATCGATGCTACAGACACCTACTTTACATAGAACTTTTTGTGATAGATGGCGCCCCGTTCGCATTACTGTCGGTCTGTTCAAATTCGTTTATTCTACAATCCGTTTTTTTTTTTAAAGATAAAATTCAAAATGACATTATGTTGGCAATACAATGTAAAATTGTCAATGCTTCAAATTTTTTATGTAGAAAAGGCTTGGGCTGCCAACATAGTTACTAAATTTTTGACTTGGGGAATTATCTTTAAAAAAAAAAAACAGACTTTAGACTTTGGGGCATTAATGTTTGCTTAAATTAATTGATAATTTGTTAATTAGATCAAAAGACAGTTTCTTTATCGATGGTTAAGGGATCCTCAACATATTTATTCAAAGTTCTAATTGATGTTTAATTGAACCTGTCATTTATCTAATCAACAAAGATAAAAATAGATCTTCCAATCTATAAAGTTTGAAGGTCTTCTTGAAACACACAAAACAACTTTGAAATCACTTAAGAACACTTGACAATACAAAGAAAGATGAAATGCAAGACCGGCAAACGAAAAACATTATGAATTATTAGTTATGATCAAATGAATATTGTGGCATATTGTCATATGTTGACATGTCAGTTATCGACATCGGACGTGTTCTTGATGTGCTGGTATTTTCCAATTTTGACAATTCTGTGGTTGTTAGCGACATCTAGAAAAACGGAAAAGAGTTATTTATGTGGTTTATAACTGGCAATGAGAGATCGCAGGGCCTGGATCTGTCCAAGGACTTGGAGATAACATAATTGTTATTTATCGGTGAATTTATACACAAAATATAATTTAAAAAAATTTGACACCTCATAGGTAACAGATAAACTGACTGTGACATAATTTTATGGTGGCGTTTATTCCGCACTTGTAGTTGTGTTTCACTCCAGCGTCCTCAAGCGGATGCGATCCGAAGCTTTTTTTTTAGGCCCCGCCCTCCATTAAGCTTTTTTTCTATCCGCGAGGGTATGTGTTCTGTGCGGTAATATGAGTGCGCCGACCATGCTGGCCAGCACAGATTAACCCGTCCTAAAGATAGGAAACTCCCATGTAAAATGTTCGTTCGGAGCTGTCTCGAAAATAACACGTGTGGAGCTTCATGACTGCCAAAGCTATGCGCCGCTAGTATACAAAGCCACAGGCAAATGTCATCTGTAAACTGTGAATGGTGAATATAATTTGACAATGTGTTTGTCATCAGTTAGCCGTTTGATCTGTGTTAGTGTTCTTTTATTTAATTTCCTATCAATTTTTGATAAAACTTTGACTTGTTGATATGTTTTTTAAAAAAAAAGACTTTATGTTACATTCAAACATAGTGGAAATGCTCGTGGAAATGGGATTAGTTAGACATTCACGAATGGAGTGTGATTTGTGCACCAAATAAGACCAAAATTCTTAAAAATATACCTTCATTTATAGCATAGGTATTACTGCAGTGGAAGCTTCTGAATTCATGCCATCACCACGTTATCCTCAGAGACTTTGCTGAGTGTGGAATTAGTGAATTTTATGTGCAGTATTATAAACTTTTCATTGTTTTTTTTTTTTTTTAATACGTTTTTCTATTATTGTTGTGTTTAAGGCTGTTCCAATAAAGAAGGAGATGGTACTAAAATGTTGTTTTATTTTTTAAAAAATTACAGATAATAATAAAATAAAATCGATTAAGGGACAAATTATTTGAAAAAAGGCGGGAGACCACGTGACTACTGCTACAACACTGAACACACTGAAGTGCACACTAGCGCCCCCATGCTGTGGCAGTCATACAACTCGTTGTATGAGTAAGACAAGGATAGGGGAAAAGGCACGAGTTTCCTATCTTTAGGACGGGTTAATCTGTGCTGGCCAGTATGACATATTCAAATGACATATAATTAAGACCAGCTAATCATACAACTAATTATGCAGGTACCATTAATAAGGTAGGTAGCTAATTACACGTCATTAAGGTGTCTACCTTATAACACCTTCCCCTTCAGGGATAAACATTCCAAATGGTAAATGTTTATACCAAGAAGCTAAACTAAAATGAAATAAATACACTAAAACACAGTAACAAAACAAAACTAGATATCTAAAGTTAAAACATGCCATTTTTCAAAAATCTAATAAACAACATAGTCATTATAATTTGGCGGCAATTTCGATGCTCTACTGGGTCGGCCACTTCTATAATTAACTGGGGGAGTACGGACTGGACTCGAATTTGCCAACGGACTTACTATATTTTCAATTCTATTACCTGTACTCTGACTTTGACCGCTTTCCGAAGAAGTGCTCGGCCTATTATTATATCTTTGTTGTGGATTATTTAAATTTAAATCATTGGAATTGTCAATTTCACGATTCGATATTGATTTTCTTAAATCATAGCTA